GTAGCAAACTGGGAAGTTTATGTGACACGCGATGGGTACAACATCATGACGGTTATTTGCAATTGCAAGGCGACTCATTGGTGAAAATATGTGATGCACTAACAAAAATTTATGTAATTAACGTTATGCTACGTAAACAGGAAAATGCCGAAGGAAATTTTCACAACTTCTCTGTCGAGGCACAAGAGCTAACTGAAAAACTGGATATAATTACGAGGGTGGATTGAAAAGTACTCGGCCTAACACAGATCCATTCAATTCTAAAAATCAAATCTACCCACATTATTTAGTTCAGTTCAGACTAGTTCATTGTGTGAAGTTCGAAACGTGTGCGATAATTAGTTGTGATTTTATAAATTTATTAACAAAGTAATCGGACATAATTTCCGCGAATGGAGCAAATCGAGCAGCGTGCCGTCATTAAGTACCTCCATAAGAAGGGGCTATCATCAAAAGCCATCCATGATGACATGGTCAGTACATTAGGCGATTGTGCTCTGTCATATTCATCCGTCAAAAAATGGATAGCAGAATTTAAGCGTGGTAGAGAGAGTGTGAAAGATGAACCCCGCTCTGGAAGGCCTTCGACGTCAACTACTGACGAAAATATTAAAAAAGTACTTGATTTAATAATGGGAGACCGCAGATTAAAAATTAGAGAGATAGCCGAGATTATAGGCATCTCTTATGAACGAACTCAAAACATCATTGTCAACGAGTTGGGTTTCCACAAGGTGTCTGCGAGGTGGGTTCCGCGACTGCTTTCAGTTGAACAAAAAAGGACGCGATTGACTATTTCACGCGACTGTTTGGAGTTATTTGAAGCCGATGCAGATGATTTTTTGAATCGTTTTGTTACTATGGACGAAACATGGGTTCATTACTGTACACCGGAAACAAAACAACAATCAAAACAGTGGAGAAGACCTGGTTCACCACCCCCTAAAAAGGCTAAGTCGATTTTGTCGGCAAAAAAGGTGATGGCTTCAGTATTCTGGGACTCGAAAGGTGTGATTATGATTGATTATCTTGAAAGGGGTCAGAATATAAACTCTGATTACTACTGCACCTTACTACGTCGTTTACGAGAGGAAATAAAAGAAAAACGTCGAGGAATGCTCAGAAGAAAAGTCCTGTTTCATCAAGATAACGCCCGTGTTCACACGTCAGTACAGTCAATGGCTGAAATTCACAACTGTGGCTTTGAACTGTTACCGCATCCGCCGTATTCACCTGATCTGGCACCATCAGACTTCTTTCTGTTCCCTAACCTAAAAAAGCACTTGGGAGGTCAAAGATTTTCGACAAACGACGAGGTCAAAGCAGCTGTAGACGCATATTTTGACTCTAAGGAAGAATCATTTTTTTTCAACGGTCTAAATGCTTGGAAGGGGAGGTGGCAAAAGTGTATTGAACTTGATGGTGATTATGTAGAAAAATAAAAATATAACTGATTTAGTATTTGTTTATTTTCTTGGTTAGGCCGAGTAATTTTCAATCCACCCTCGTATTATGAGGCCTCATACTCCGCCTCGGCAGACTCTTCGCGATAATTATCAATGAAATGACGAGGAATATTTTCGGAGAACTGTTTATATTCCACTGATAGATAGCATAATGACTGGACTACAGGACCGAATTTCTGCTAATACGATGAACCTGTTCAGATTAGCCATTTTTATGCCAAAATCTGGATATACAGAAGAAGATCTTCTTAATATGAAGAAGGTATCAGCATACTATTCCCATTCCTTGAGTGTTCCTGCTGCCATTCTCGTGACAGAATATCAGCTATGGATTACAAAGTAGAAACGGGAGCTTAAAGAAAATAGTGATACAAAATTCCCTAAGTGTGTGGTATCTAAAATCGAAGTTTGCGACGATGATCTCTACCCAAATATAAAACTTTGCTGAAAATTCTGGCACCTCTTCCTATAAGCGGTGCGTCATCAGAGAGATCATTTTCTACACTAAGGCGTGTAAAAACTTGATTGAGAGCAAACATTTTAGATGAGAGGCTGACAGGTTTAGCTCTTCTAAATATTCATTCAGAGATAACCCCAGACGTCTGAAATATTATCACTCGATTTGCCAATAATAATAGAAGACTTCCTTTTGCTTTAAAATGTGTATCATTTAGCTATTATTTTTAATACTAGTATCGAATCTGGTGTGTTTCCTGATTTAATGAAGCATAGTAAAGTAATACCTTTATAAATCTGGTAGTACATTAGACCCCACCAATTTTAGACCTATTTCTGTACTACCAATACTTAGTAAGATTTTTGAAAAAATTATTCTTCATCAAATGTTAAATTTCTTTAATATAAATAATTTACTTCATAAAAATCAATTTGGTTTCACAGGGGATCTTTCAACAACTGATGCCGGTGTTGAGCTGATTAAATATATATTTAATGCATGGGAGAATTCACAGGATGCTTTGGCTATATTCTGTGACCTATCCAAGGCCTTCGATTGTGTTCACCGTGAAACATTAATCAGGAAACTTAAATACTAATGTGTAAGAAGTGATGCTCTTAAATTATTTCATATTTAAGAGAAGGCAAAAAGTTGTCATTAACAGTATTAGCTCTTCCGGGTCGATGGTACAAATGGGCGTGCCTCAAGGCTCAATTCTCAGCCCCTTTATGTTTCTTCTATACACTCATGACTTACCTTACATAGTAGGGATAACCATGATATAGTATTATTTGCTGATGACACTACTTTAGTTTTCAAATTAAGACGACAGTTACTAAAATATGACGAAGTAAATAATGCTATATCTAAATTATTAAATTGGTTCAATATTAATAATTTGCATTTAAATGGCACTAAAACGAAATATCAATTTATGACTAATGTAATTTTAAATGGGGAGAAACTGAGTCTTGTAGATACCACCATTTTTCTTGGAATCACATTAGATGCCAAGCTTCAATGGAGCCCCCATATATCAAAATTAGCAAGCAGACTTAGTTCTGCAGCATATGCTGCAAAAAAGATTAGAAGTCTTACCAGTTGAAACAGCTAGACTAGTTTACTTTAGCTATTTTCATAGCATAATGTCTTATGGTATTTTGCTATGGGGACACGCAGCTGACAGCTACATTACATTTATGAAAATGTAATGTACGTCCACAAAAATATAAATAGTTTTCCAAAAATAAGTGATATTCATTCACCATAAATACTAGGAACAGACACAAGTTAGTAGTACCAGTTACTCGACTCCATCGAGTCAGTAATTCATTCTTGGGGCGATGTATACGCTTTTACAACAAAATTCAAGAAAATATACAAAATTTGACCTGCTCAAATTTCAAAAACTTTATTAAACTAAGTTTGTATAAAAAGTGTTATTATAATATTAAGGAATTTATGGATGATAATAACCCCTGAAAATAAGGTGATCGCTACCAAGTTATTTCTAATTTGGTGTGTCGTTAATTGTGTAACATACATGATTGTAAGCTGTTATTTAAGTCTCTCCCAGGACAGAGGTTTTTTTCGAACCAGTGGTAATTAAACAAAAGAGTGACTTCCAATAAGTATTATTTATAATCTATATTGAATAAAAGTTTGTTTCTGTTTCTGTGCAATAAAGTCTAATTTACTCGACATATTTTATTATTTAGTGACCTTCCTCTCTCAATATCTCCCTCAGTTCATTCATCAGTTGTCGGCACAATATAAGAAAATTTCGCTGTTGTTTTTCATCTTGTTCTTACAGTGGTGCCTTTCCCTCTCAATCAATAAATTCTTTTCTAGACAAACTTGCCCCCTCTTCAGCTCCTTCGAGAGAGGAGCTACCTCAAAGTATTATTATTAGTATAATAGTAAGGATGTGAATCTTTTTTGATCCCATAGAACGTCCATTCTCACTATATCATATATGAGCAACAACCGGCCCGCGGGGCGGATCCGGCCCGCTGTAAGATATGATCTGGCCCGCGAGAAATTTTGAAAAAACCCAATTAAAAAAATATTACATTAGGTACTTATACTCACGGGAGTGACAGTGAGGCGGCAAACATCAAACTCGAACGAAACTAACTCGAACTCACTCGAACTCGAACGCCACATTTAAGAGCAGAAGAAATCCAGAAGCTTACCGCAAATTTGGAAAAACAGCAACAAATATTTCATACACAAAGAACACAACTTGATAATGTTGTGAAAGCTAGTTTTATACTTAGCTCAAAATTGGCAAAGGCATTAAAATTAAAACCTTTTGCCAAAGGAGAATTCATCAAGGAGTGTATGTTAGAAGTTTGCGGTATTTTGTGTCCTGAAAAGAAAAATGAATTTGAAAAAATTAGTTTGTCAAGACGAAATGTTTTTCGACATATAGAAATGATAGCTATGATATAAAGACAACATTGACTGACCGTATGGCTGGTTTTGAATCATTTTCCATAGCATTAGACGAGGGCACCGATTTGTCTGACACAACTCAACTGGCTTTATTTATTCGAGGTGTTGATAAGGAGTTCACTGTTACTGAGGAATTACTTGCTTTACAACCGCTAAAAGGAACCACTACAGGAGATGATATATATTTATTCGAGGTGTTGATAAGGAGTTTACTGTTACTGAGGAATTGCTTGCTTTACAGTCGCTAAAAGGAACTATTTTTATTGAAGTTCAAAAGGTATTCACAAGTTTTGGCTTGCCATGGTCAAAATTAATTGGAGTATGCACTGATGGTGCGCCTTCTATGGTCGGCTTACGTAAAGGTTTCATCGGAATTTTGAATGAAAAAGCAACAGATTTATACGTACAAAAAGATGATTTCATAGTCCTTCATTGCATTATCCACCAACTTGTGTTCTAAGTCCATTCGACTCCAGAATGTTAGGAAGGTGGTAATAAAAACCATCAACGTTATTCGATCCCGAAGGCTTAACCATCGTCAGTTCAAGGCGTTTTTGGATGAAATATCAGCTGAATATAAGTAACATATTATTGTGAAGTCAGATGACTGTGCAAAAAATATGTTGAAACGGTTTTACAAGTTTAGAAATGAGATAGCAGACTTTATGAAAATAAAATATAAACCACTATCTGAATTAAATGATCCAAAATGGATATGTGACTTGGCAATTCTGGTCGATCTTACAGGCTATTTGAATGATTTAAATTTGAAACTTCAAAAACAAGGACAGTTAGTAAATGATTTGTACAGCCATTTGAAAGCGTTTCATATCAAACTACGCTTGTGGGAGTCACAGATGCTGTCTGGTAACAGTTATCATTTCAACGCGCTCTCTGCGTATGAAAATATTGCTTATGCTCAGTATGCTGAAGAACTCAAGTTACTGTCGGAACAATATTCGAACAGATTTAGCGACTTCAAAAAGATGAAACTGTTTCAGTTTATTTGCTACTCCTACAAAATATAATGTACAAAATGCTCCAATACACTTACAAATGGAGTTGATCGAGATTCAAGAAAACTCACTCCTAAAATCCAAATTTGAAGACGTAGCGTTGTGCGATTTCTACAAAAAATACCTAGAAATAGACAATTTTCCGCAGCTTAGAAAATTCGCATGGTTGTGCGTTTAGCAGTACTTATAAATGCGAACAATTCTTTTCATTGATGAAAGTTAATAAATGGAAATTTCTTTACGTCTTTGTATCAGTGGAATTAATCCAAATATCAATGGATTAGTTTCCCAAATTCAAGCTCAAGTGTCTCATTGATTTCGGTGTATTTAACTTTCGTAGTTTGTAACAATTGCAAATCTAACTAAGTACTTTAAAACGCGGCCCGCGAACGAATTTGCACGCTAAAGTTTGGCCCTCAACATGTCAAAGGTTGTCCATACGTGCTCTATATGAATTAAAGCTTGTCCTTTCTCACGTTTACGATTCAGCACCTGGTCTACGGTATTCCATATTCATTACTTGCCAAATATAACGATCAAATTTTAACCTACTATTTAAAAAAAATTAAAAAAGCTGGTGATAATAGTATAAATAGACATAATATACAACTAAGAAAGAGAAATAAATTAATATTGCATAAAACCACTTTATCTTTATACAGTTCTGGACCATATTCCATGGCAGTTAAATTATATAATACATTACCCACAGATATAAGAGAGATGGAATAATATAAGAAATTTGTTAGAGCACTAAATAGCTTTTTGATTAAGAAATGTTACCATAGATGAATATTATGTAAAATAGAAATAAATAAATAAAAATAGTAATATAACGTATACTAAATACTACAATAATACCTGTAATGTATAAAAATATATAAATATTAATATTACAATTAAGGTATTAGAAATTAGGGCTAGCTTTATTCCATATTGTTATACCGTTGCTGGGTGCATGTGCTGTAATGTGTCACAAAAAATCACATGTAAATGCAATAAATAAATAAATATCATTAACACTTTGTTTGACATAGGTTTTGTTCCTGACTCTTGGCGGACTGAAGTAATTATTCCTATCTTAAAACCTAACAAAAACCATAACGATGGTTCTTCCTATCGACCGATTGCTCCATCCTCAACTATAATTAAAACCTTTGAACACATGATCAAGAATCGTCTTGAATGGTATGTAAAAAGTTATGGATTGTTATCAAATACTAAATATGGATTCAGAAAAGGTAAAAGCACATATGACAGCCTTTCAATCTTCACCACAGATATTAGACTAGCATTTTCGAGAAACGAATCGGTCCTTGCTGCTTTCCTTGACATTTCTTCTCCCATTCAATGCGGCTCGAAAAATCGCCTTTATTACGCAGGGGCGGGCTTAAAGAACTAACTTCGATAGGCGTCGGACGCATCTCATATTTAAACACTTTGACACCGATCGGCGTTTCCCGCACATGAAAATGATTCTTGCTTGTTTAGACAGAATTTTATTGACGCTTATCAGTCTACGCCATATCAAGTGACTGCGTATTCAGTGGCCAAGTTACATTTGTATATAATAAATTATTTTGTTATTAAAACAGTGAATTTTTATTAAAAATATTAGCGATTTCCTATTTACCATAAATATGGCTGGAAATAGTGAGTGAATTTGTTTCTATTCTATTCAGTATATAGTATATATTCAGTAAGGGATATTTTCCACATTATAGAAAGATTTCTAATTACACTTTGAATAACGAAATTGGTTTTTATATTAATATTATTGAAACATGACCAGGGATTGCAAACCTTTTTTCTGTTTTTTTTTAAGTTAAAAATACTTTTAATAATAGTATTTAGTCTACAATTTTAAATGTATTAAGTATAAAAAGTAGTGTTTTTAATTAGTAGTTGAAAGGAAGAGAGGGGTTTTCAGTTACATACTATTTCTAGTGCATCGTTTGTTTCACTTAATAATTAATAATGAATTTATCTTGGTGGTCTTGGAAGGTGAGGCTCAACCATGGTCACCGAGTTTATTGAGTGACGGTGTGAGACAATTTGGTTCGCTAAAAGGAAAGCCATGTGATGATCAACATTATCATCTTGATAATGTTGATGCGAAAAAAGTCACATCTAGACAAAATAAAGAGACACAGGTATCGTCACAGGGCATTCAGGATGTAAATTTATATAAACGCAACATTTTCGAATCTAATGAGTATAAATGTGACGTATCACAATTACCCAATTTTGAATTTTGAAAACGGGGAACCAACTGACCACCGAAACAAAGCGTTTGCTCAACTGATCGCTTACGAATTAAATCTTGTTCCAATGAAAAAAAGATCTGTAACATATGTTAATATAATAAATCTTGTGAGGAAAGTACGTCACCAATAGAATGTGAACGACATAAATTTACCCAACTAAGAAAACTCGGAATAATGTTGTGGCATAGGTACGCTGTGAGCCTACATGTTGTTTGATGATTGTTGATATTATTAAATAAGTATTATGAACACTTACGTAGTTGTAGTTTTGTTTAAGTACCTACTCTCACAAGTATGCGAAACAATGATTACATATATGAACGATTTTAACAATCCAAGATGTTGGATATTATTAATAAGCCGTTTTCGTTTTAATTTTCTGGGTGCTCTTTTTTTCCTTTTTACACTAGAGACGATGAAGAATATATAAAAAAAAAACTAGCGAATCATATCAACGCAGCAAAATGTTTAACTATCAACTATAAAATGAAGATTGCTGAACCTATTACTGTTTTTTTAATTCTATAACATAAAATACCTAGCTAAAATAAATAATATATAAATATTTAATCGAAATGTTTTCAATGTTTATAACCTCTGGAAGACGCCGTTCGGCATTTTCAGCGCCTGAGGATAGTTTTGTTATTTTTCTAAAATCATTATTTATAGAAACGGAAACTATAATGATGTTGTATGTATGTAAAACATGCACATATAAAAAGTATATCCCTTTAGAATAGAAATTGGCCTAGTTATGGATAAAATATAATTTACGCCGATCGGTGTCATCCGCCTAAGAATGACAATTAACTTTTATTAATAACTATATAATAATTAACGCCTAAGAAGTGCGTGCACCGCAACGAATGGGTTAACATCCTTAGAGAAAAGATGTTTAAGCTTAATATGTCAAAAAACTTTGATTATCAATTTATTCCTAGATCGGTATATACATATTAAAATTGATGATGATTTAAAATATACTCGCAAGGTTTTCAAAGGCCTGCCGCAAGGCTCCGTTTTAAGTCCTTTATTATACAATATTTATACGTCAGATTTAGACCAGTCCATTTCAAAGTGTAGAATTTTGCAATATGCTGATAATGTCTTCATCATCATCATCATCATTACAGCCCTTCACAAGTCCACTGCTGAACATAGGCCTCCCCCAAAGAATGCCACAAAGCACGGTCCTGAGCCACCTGCATCCATCGACTTCCTGCATATCTTAACAGGTCGTCACTCCATCTAGTGGGGGGACGCCCTACACTTCGCCTGCCGGTACGAGGCTGCCACTCGAGAACCTTTCTTCCCCATCGGTTGTCGGTTCTTCGAGCTATATGGCCGGCCCATTGCCACTTCAGCTTACTAATCCGTTGGGCTATGTCGGTCACTCTAGTTCTACTGCGGATATCCTCATTTCTGAGTTTATCACGCAGAGAAACTCCGAGCATAGCCCTCTCCATAGCTCGCTGAGCGACCTTGAGCTTCCTCATCCGGCCAGCAGTGAAGGACCACGTCTCAGTTCCGTATGTCATCACTGGCAACACGCACTGGGTGTACAGTCTCGTTTTCAAGTTTTGAGGTATACCTGACGAGAAGATGTGCCGTAATTTCCCGAACGCTGCCCAACCGAGTTGAATCCGTCGATTGACCTCTCGGTCGAAGTTGGACTTACCTAGTCGGACTATTTGTCCCAGGTAAACATACTCGTCAACAACTTCGAGCTTAGTGTTCCCAACAACTACCGGCATAGGTGTGACATGGACATTAAACATGATCTTTGTTTTGTCCATGTTCATCTTAAGACCTATCCGTTGGGAAACACTATTGAGGTCATTGAGCATAGTGCTTAGGTCCTCCAGCGATTCTGCCATAAGGACTATATCGTCGTCAAATCGAAGGTGAGTGATGTACTCGCCATTGATGTTGATACCGTATCCTTTCCAGTCCAGAAGCTTGAAAACATCTTCCAATGCAGCGGTAAAGAGTTTCGGGGATATGACGTCACCCTTTCTTACACCTCTCTGCAATTGGATAGGTTTCGTACTCTGGTTCTGTACTCGGATAGCCATCGTAGCCCTACTGTACAAGCACTTCAACACTTCGATATACCGACAGTCAACTTGGCATCGCTGAAGGGACTGCAGCACCGCCCAAATTTCGACGGAATCAAAGGCTTTCTCATAGTTCACATACGCCAGACATAATGGCAAATTGTACTCCTCGGACTTCTGTACAATTTGCCGAAGGGTATGTATGTGGTCTATGGTGCTAAAGCCTTTTCGGAAACCGGTTTGTTCGGGAGGCTGGAAGTCGTCAAGTCTGCGCGCGAGACGATTCGTAATGACTCTCGAAAACAGCACGTAGACGCGGCTTAGAAGGGAAATCGGTCTGTAGTTCTTCAAGAGAGCGTTGTCGCCTTTCTTGAAGAACAAGACCACCGCACTTCTGCTCCACGCCTCCGGTGTAATGCCACCATGAAGGACGGAATTAAAGAGCTTCTGAAGGACTTCAAGTACCGGTTTTCCACCCGCTTTCAGAAGCTCTGCTGTAATTCCATCCTCGCCTGGGGCCTTGCCGTTTTTAAGGTGCTGGAGAGCCATTCTAATCTCGCTCAGACTGACGTCCGGGATATCATCGGAATAATGTCTTAGTTTATGTAAATGATAAATGTATAGAATCCTGTGCTAATGCGATAGAACAAGATCTTCTCTCTGTGTCCAGGTAGTTAGATGATCATGG